TTCCTAGATCATTAGTCCTAATCTACCATGTTGTTCTCATAAAGCTGATAATCATAACACAACATAAACTTGTTTGGGTAATTTGGGAATACTTACTTGAGCTCGGCTGATTGCATGCACCCCACTCTTTTCTCTTTTTCAAAATTCTTTTCTCTTTTCAAAATTCTTTTCTTTTTCTCAAAGTTCTTTTTATAAAAATGATTTTCTTTGAAAACTTTCATACCAATTCCTTAGTTTGAGTTCATACACACCCAAGAGCATGCCTGAATCCCTCAAACCAAGGCTCTGATACCAACTTGAAACATCCCAAAGATCTAGGCCAAAAATTTCATTTTTAAATCATTTATAATAAATCCATACATCATCCATCATCATAAAGAAAACCATAATCATGTATCTCAAAAACATGGTGTCTAAATACTGTATCAAATCATATGAAAATATCAGAGTCTAAACATCCTAGGCTGTAACTGTGGTGTGTGCCATGCGATCATCCCGAGCCCTTCCCCTTGCTAGTGGAAGTACTTGAAACCAAAACTGAAAACTGTAAGCATGAAGCTTAGTGAGTTCCCCAAACTACCACATACCATACAAATCACATGCAACTAAGAGATACGGGCCCCGCCCACTCTCATGGAGATTCGGGCCCCTCCCACACTCCGCTGTCTAGGAGATTCGGGCCCCGCCCACACTCCGCTGTCTAGGAGATTCGGGCCCTGCCTACATTCCACTACTAACACGCATACGAGTATCACACAGACAACAAGTACATCTACCAATCAATCACATATCTATACTCAACTAATAATGTAAGCATCAGGCCCCGCCCACTCTAAACTACTATGAGCTTCGGGCCCCGCCCACACTTAGCTACTATATATAAGCATCGGGCCCCGCCCACTCTAAGCTACTACATATCACTTATACGGGCTGCCTTGGTGCCGTAGACCCGTTCCTACTGAAGGAAACTCACCTCGCAAGACTGACTGCTGAAAACTCGAGCGAGGAATCCATGTCTGTTGCTCCGGTGACTCTCCGACTATTAATTCCATAATAACACTTAATTAGAATATGCTAATCCTCTCTTAGGGTAAAATGACCATTTTACCCCTGGTCAAAGTCAAAGTCAAAGTCAAGGTCAACTCCCAGTCAACCCAACTCGTCGAGTTATCTCCCAACTCGGCGAGTCCCTAAATGCTTAACCCGTGGTCAACTGAGTCAACTCGTCGAGTCCCTTAACAGACTCGTCGAGTTCTTGCTGTCATAACAATCGGGACAACCCGCTTGGACTCGTCGAGTCCTTCCCTGGACTCGGCGAGTTCCCCTGTCTGATTGAGCCATCTCAAAGGATTAAGCTCCTACCATTCAGATCTATGTTCCTTAGTTCGTTTGCTCACTAGAAAGGCCATTCTAAGGGTAAAGTTTCCAACTTTACCCGTTCATAACTCTTCTTAAAGGGTTTAGACAAAACCCTAATTCCTTTACGACATGGATCATGTCCAAAAAGCCTTAGAATCTCAAATCCACTCATACAAACCTAGATCTAGGGTTTTAACATATGATGGAGACATAAAGTTCCGATCTTTCCTTCTATGGATGGTCTTTTAGGGCTAAAAAGGCCATGAACTTGCTTATAAGCTTGCATGGGGCTTCCATGGTCATAAAGTTTGCACCTTTATGCCATGGAACCCTTCCTAGATCCAAGATCTGAGATATAAGCCACTTGGGATATCCCAACCCCAATGACCAAGGTTCTAGAACCAAAACCTTCATAAAATGGGAACAATTAGATCTAAGAGAAGAATGATCAGGTTGGAAACTTGATTACCAGAAAATGTAGTGAATGAAGTGTAGCTCCTGGATCTACTTCTTCCCCTTTGATCCTTCTTTCTTCTTCTCCTTCGACAAGCTTCAAAATGCACAACAACCCTCAAAAATGGCAAGAACTAGCTCCAAATCACTCAAGGTGGATTAGGGTTTTGATAATAGGGGTTTGGAGGTAATGGAGGTTGGGGTGGAGGCCAGATATGATGCTTAAATAGGGTGCAAACCCTGAAGATTAGGGTTTCCTCCTGATGGACCTACTCGCCGAGTCCAGGCTCTGACTCGTCGAGTAGACCATTTAAATCCCGCGACCAAGCTGGCATCTACTCGACGAGTTAGGGATACCAACTCGTCGAGTAGCTCTTACAAAATGAATATTTTAATAAATTAAATGCGTACCAGGAATGGGGCGTTACATGCAATTATCTTGAAATAAAGTTGGACATTTGGTTTCACCTCTGTGCCATTCCTCCTTAAATGTTGTAAGGCCTTGTGACTTTGCCTCTAGCAATAAAAATAAGAATTGCAGGTAAAGGTTATAACTATTGGTGACATAATGTTAAAGGCATGAACAATGGGGAACATCCTCCAAAATTTATTTTTTTCGCATTTTTTATTTGTATATGATAAAAAGGAATAGACAAAGAGAAATAAGGGTTATCTTTTTCTAGAGTGATTCGTGGACCTTAGATAACAAATCTACCACCTAGGCAAAGACAAAGCGATGATAACACAAACCATAATATAGTTTATAAAATTTGCCACCATAATTAAATGGCAAAGTAGAAGACACATAGTTTTTAAATTGCTAATATAAGGACAACCAAGTTGCAATTGCTATGAGCTCTAATTATGCTAATGTTTATAACCAAAGCATCATCAGAGTACATGGTGAAGCAAAAGTTGAAAATCATAAGCACATTAAACAGGAGGCCATTTTAGATCAACAAAGCACATGGGAAAACAAGCAAGCCAATGCTCTATCCATGAAATCTGAAATCCAAGAGGTTTCGTTATGTTTTTGCAAACATAGACACAGATAAAGAGATATAGAAAGGGAAATTGAGGTTTTTACCTCTTTTGAGCCGAGCTAGATTAGCAGGGGTGTTTGTAGAACATCAGATTCATGTAAAGCCCTGAAAATAGACAAAACACACTTATTATAAACACTGGAACGAAGAAGAGGTTTGTGAAGAATGTTTGTAGCATGAAAACACAATTAAGCTCATTAACTTCATTGTTTGCATCTTTGATTATTGAAAAATTATTGAAGTCGAACACTTTAGCCAACCCACTTCAATGAAACTATCAATGCATATAAAGCCACAAAATATTCATCAGAAAGACGAACCTGTAAACCAAAAAGAAAAATTAACAACAAAATCCAAACCTTTAAATCGAAAAAAATATACAAAAATTATGGTTTCGAGGATACCCCTAGTGGCTGATGGCGAAGAAGGTGTTGGTAGGTTGCGACCACTAAATCGAGCCTATATAAACCATAGATTTCAGAAAGTCCCAATCATACATGCAATTGAAGTCATAAAGAAAATAAGAAAGATATAAAGTCAAAGAAATGAAAAACCAAAATCAGGAAAGATAGAGAGTGACTGGTGTATGTGTGTGCGTATAGACAATAGAAAGAAGGTATGTGTATGTATCTATGATTGCATCCTTTCTCGATTGTGCAATAGATAGAAAAAACATAGGAAGAAATAGGGCAGACTTATTAGGGGTTTAACCAACCAATGGAATAAAGAAGAAACACTGACACTAACGTGTCTTAAGATGAAGAACATAAACAAAATATTTACCTTTTTTGCTCGAACGTTGGCAGCGACCGACCACAAAGAAGAAGATCCCAACGTCTACGGTTTTTCTGGAGAGGGGGAGAAAAATTGGTTTTAGAGAGAGAGTTTGTATTCAAAATTTGAATTCAGATGAACAAATGAGAGATATATGTAGATGACAGAAGGGAGGAGTGGTGGTGAAAGATGAGTGTTGTTAGGGCTTATTTGAGAGAAAGGGGGTGGGGGTAGGCGGTGGAGCAGTACTCAGATGTGGGTTGTTTATGTCGATGCAGAACAACGGATCGAGATATATTTGCACAGATCTTAGGATTTAACATAGACTCATATCTCAGGATTTAACATAGACTCGGTCATGGATGATTAAAATGGTCGAGTAAAAAGCTAGAGAGAAGGTACTTATGCATTAAGTAATTGTAATTAGTGTTAGGTATTTTGTATAATATCAAATTTAATATCATTTTATTCATAAGTGCTTGTACTTTAAGCTTAGAGACTTGAACGTCTTAAAAAATATTATTATTATTATTATATATATATATATATATATATATATATATATATATATATATATATATATATATCTATTATATATATATCTATATATATCACATAACCACAAACCAAATGAAAATGTCCTAACTACATAGATGAACATGTTTATCTATGAACATCCCATGTTTATAAATGAACATATGTTATATATATATATATATATATATATATATATATATATATATATATATATATATATATATATATATATATATATTAAAAGATACTTATTTTTTGAGCAAATTATGTAAAATTAATTGCAAAATGTATACAAAATAACATTTAATGATAACTTGTGTGAAGAAAAGTTTAATGGTAAAATATGTATATCGTCAATAGTAATATCCACGTGGTTGGTAACCTATTATTTCCGATAACACCAATGGTATTTTTTAAACAAAAAGTATATACTTCAATGGTCATACGTATACAAAGACTATTGTATGTTGGTAATACGTGTATAAAGATATATTTTATATTTTTGTAGAATTCTTTTACTTTGTGTACAAAAATACTTTATAATAAAATATACATCGTCAATAATAAAATCCATGTCATGTTCCACGTGGCTTGCCATGTGGCAGGTAACCCAGTAACATCGATAATATTTTTTTGGAACAAAATATAAAATTTAATGGTCATATGTGTAAAAAGTCTATATTTTGTTTATAATATGCGGTCAAAGAAAAGTTTTGTTATTTTTTATATAATTGTAATACTTTTGTTATTCCCGAAATTCATTTTCCCTATTGATCTTGTAAAAAAATTACATACCCTTTTCTATTAACAAGAAGAAACAAAGGTTAGCAATGAACCCATAATATGATTAAAGAGAGACACATGTAAATCCACCAACTCAAGTGCTTCTCATTGCAATATATATAGACCTATTTACATATCATCACTCCCATCAAATCATCAAACCAATCTAACAAAACCCATGTAACCACTCTAGAAAACAATTTACACCAACACCACCAATAATATTTCTTTCTATCACAAACCTATGATGCCACTCAATCGTTCCTCCTCACTCTCCAAAACTTATTAATTCAATTCCGTGGAGCCCACCATACCCAAAAAGGTAACACCATTCTTTATAAAGGTGTCATTTTTTCTTTTTATGTTGCACTTTTTAGTAGGACCATTTTATGTACAATTGTGCTTGTGATAATTCTTCAACTAATGCTTGCTGTTCTTAGCAGCCTACGGAATTCGTGCAGACTAATTTTGCCATCTTTGTCAATGTCAGCTTCCTCTAAAACTGGATATATAGACCCTCTTAGCCCCGTATGCTGAAAATGAAAACCCCAATAAACATCAATCAATAAGTATTTTGCCCTTTGATTAATCGAGTTAAAGTAACAAAAAAAAAAAAAAAGTTCACCATTTTGAGTTCTTCGGGAGTTATAAATCCATCTCTATCTACATCGAATTTTTCAAAAGCAGCTTTTGATAATCGTTGCCATTTTTCATTGTTATGTTCCTCTAATTGATGAACATGAAGAGTAGCAGCTACAAACTCCATGAAATCCACAAGCCCATCTGTGTTAGTGTCGATCTGTGTCACACCCACATAATTGATTATACAATGATCTTAAAAAGAGTAAATTACACGAATGGTCCCTATGGTTTGGGGTAATTTGCACGTTTGGTCCCTATCTTATTTTTTTAACTTGGAAGGTTCCTACAGTTTGTTTTTGTTGCGTGTTTGGTCTCTGTCTTACCTAAAAAGACGTTTTTGCCCTTGATTTTTTAATTTATTTAAATAAGGTAAGGTAAGGTAAGGTGATGTGGAAGTGGGGTTGGGGTTGGAGTGTGTTTATTAAATAAATTAAAAAATCAAGGGCAAAATAGTCTTTTTAGGTAAGACAGAGACCAAACGCGCAACAAAAACAAACAGTAGAGACCTTCGGAGTTAAAAAAATAAGTTAGGGACCAAACGTGTAAATTATCCCAAACCATAGGGACCATTCGTGTAATTTCCTATCTTAAAAACAATGACAAAATTGATACTTCAATGGTTTAACCACAGTTTCATAAATAAAAACAACCCAAGTTTAAACAATTTTTTCTATGGCAACCTTTTATAGTGGTTATAATAGAAAATTTTGTCTAACTTTAGTGTCAAAATTTTCACTAAAGTCACTTAACTTTGACAATGTTTTAGATTGTGACCACTTTAACATGTTATAGCTAGGTCAAAGTGTTCAACATAGAAAAAAATTGTAAAACTTGGGTGATTTTATTAATGAAACTTAAATATAGTGGTTAAACCACAAAAATAGTTAAAATACAGTGCATTTTATGTAATTTGCTTTAATAAAAGAAAATGAAAAAGAAAAGATTAAAAGATTAAAAATTGGTGACTCACCGCTTGCAATATCTCCTGAACACGAGAATCTTTCATCTTCCATGGAACATCCTTAGCAAGAGCCTACCTCGAAAAACCGATATAATTTAATAAAAATATGATTTGAATAAAATTGATACAATCATAAAAAAAAGAGCACCATGTGATTTGCATTTTAACAATTTCACCACCTTTTTAACCAAAAAAACACAAAACTACCACCATTTCCTAATTTATCAGTTGCGAATTGTGAAATTGCAATATGAATGGTGCACACCACAAAAAAAAAAAAAAAAAAAAAAAAAAAAAAACCTTGAATTTTTTTTAAAAAAAAAAGTATTTTGCAATTGTTTCAACGAAATTGTTAAAAATTTGCGACATATTGAATGATTTTGCAAACTTTTGGAATTTCACAATAGAAAAAGGAAATCCTTATTGTGCCTTTTTTCAGTAAAAAGTAATTTCCCAATTTTTTAGAATTTCACAACAGACCAATTGCGAAATTTGGTATAAGTTATTTTGTACAATTGGTCAAAAAGATGGTGGATTTGTTAAATGTGACATTATATTATGTATTTTTTTAATTATACTTTAAAATTTAGAATTTGAAAATGAACAAATATAACAGATCTTCGGTAAAAAGATTCAGAAAAACACACCTGTCTCATTTCCTCGAGACTAATGGTACCGTTTTTGTCTACATCAATTGCATGAAACTGATCTTTAAGGAAAGATATTTCTTCTTCATCGAGCATGCTAGCCAATGCCTAAAGTGTCACAAAAACTTATTATTTTATTATTTACCAATGCAAATTACAAAAAAAAATAAACGACTATACTTTGGACATTTTTGTAGTTTAATAACTATATTCAGTTTTGTCAACAAAAGACACCCGAGTTTTACAATAGAAAATTGTATCCAAGTTTAATGGTTTTTATGTATTTTTCCCTATTTACCACTTAATATGCAAAAACAAAATTTTACCCGTAGAGCAAATTGTTTTAGGCGACTGTATCTCACAAACTGTCGCATGTTGTTTAAAACATAAATGTCAAGAGGAATCACGGACGCATTTCCATCTTCTCGAACCCATGGGTGAGCTGCATAAATTTATAAATTATTAAATAATTTTGAAAAAGTTTATATAAAATATGTTAAAAGATTATATAAAATATTTTAAAAATAAAAATATACATAGTGCTTGTGCAGCGGTGAGTCTTGCACGAGGATTTTTCATGAGTAATTTCCTTACAAAATCTTTACCACTGTCGCTAATAGTTGGCCATGGTTTGCGACGGAAATCAGGCTTGTTTCTTAATACCTGTGGATTTTTATATGAGAAGGTGGATTATGTAAATAAATAGTATACAAAAATCTGAATATTGCATTTATATTACATGAAATAGACGAGTATATTATAAATCGCAAGTTCAGACAAATTTTGTAATTGTTCCAATGTAGTCTTTACGTTTTATATAAAATGACGTCAAATTTTGGATTGAACTTGCATTTTGTGTAAAGTATGCGAGCATGTCCGCAATTATGTGCAAACTTAAGGACGATATTGAGACAATTTCAAGTTTTGGACTAAGTAAATCATAGCGACCAAATGTTTAATTTACTCGATAAAACAATTTTAAGTAATGGGCCAATGTATCGGGCCTTGGGAAATGAACATTAGGTAGTAACTACTAAGTAGAATCGGGCCCAATTGGGCTTTGAAAAGAAGAACTTTTGTAGAAGCCATGGTAAAGGACAAAGGTAATGTCTTGTGTGATGGAATGGAAATTATGGAATCGTATATTTCAATGGAATCAAAGAAAACGTTTAATAATGTTCATTCTTTTAACCACTGTTTTTTTTAAGGGAAATGGAATGAAGAATTGTGATATAACCTATTTTCATTTATAAAACTTTCAATTGAAATTTTAAGGATTTAACGATTTTAGTTGAATTATAATTTTGTTTCCTAAAGACTACTAGAAATATCCTTTTACTATAATCTTATTTGGGTTCTAATGAGGTTTTTTTTTTAAAAACAGCTTGTTAATATATGTCTGGGATAGAACTCAAAACCTCCTTGTTAGACAAATGGTCTAGCCACAACTTGTGTTCTAATGAGTTTTTATTATGTTTACTTTAGTAATTTCATAAACAATAAATTACTATATACTTATAATTAATTAACATATAACATATAACATATATAATAGTCTTAGTATTATACCTTGTATTCATATATAAATATAAAAAAACCCATTATTTTCCTATAGTCTACAAAACATCATCAACGGAAACTAATGATTCATTCCATTACCTTGCTTATTCAATTCCCTTGACCGAATTTCCATTCCATTTCATCCAACAAAACAGACCACAACCCTAATATACAAACAATTTACAAATCACATGAAAAAAAAAAAATACCTCTTTAAAAATTCCATCCTCAGTTCTATCCCAAAAGGGTCGACGCCCACATAATAAAATGTATGTGATGACACCGATGCTCCAAACATCGGATTCCGGCCCCGATCTACGCTTTAATACTTCCGGAGCAACATAGTATGCACTACCAACAATATCTGTAAACTTTCTTCCTATATTTAATCATAAATATTTTATTGAAAACTCTCATTAATTAATAAAAATAAATACAAATATGAACTACAATATGATATGATAGATATGATAATACTCACCGGGTCTTATAAAATCCGACAAACCGAAATCCGTTGCCTTCAAGCGTGAATCCTCCTTTGGGGATTTAAAAAGAAAATTCTACAAAAAAAAAAATGTTACTCTTTGTGTGAAAGCTACAATGTTTTACTTGACACGTGTATTAATTTAAGTGAATGACAAATTGACAATGGGTAAATATGTAATTTTATTCTAACCTCGGGTTTCATGTCGCGATGTACCAAACCATGTAAATGGCATTCGGCTGCAACTTTAAGCATTTGTCTTACAACAATTGCTGCATCTTTCTCTGTGTAACGACCTTCTTTTCTGTAATTTTTTTTATCACATTAATGTCATAAATAGGTAACGAAAAATATTTTTTCTTTTACAAAGTTAAAAAAAAAAAAAAAAAAATACTATCAGAAGATAAACAAATGGAATTTTGGATTTTTGTTTGAAGAATGGTGAAATTCTTACTTTGACAAGATCCGATCCAGCAATTCGCCACCCTTACATAACCTGAAATGTCTCAATGTTAATTACGAGATTTATTTAACTTTTTTTTAAGGATTTATTGTTATTAAAATCCAAGAACTAAAACAAAACTTACTCCATGACAATATATACAAAGGAATCATCTTCAAATGCATTATGAAATTGAACCACATTTTCATGACCACTTAAAGCACGCAAGATTCTGACTTCTCGTCTAACATCTTCAACAGCAATTGGAAGAACCATCTGTTAAAAAAACACAAATTAATCTCAAGACAACGAAATTTCATAATCAAGCATATGAAAATTGAAATCAATATATGATAAAACACCCAAAATCAAACGCAAATTAGCTAAAATTGGATTAAATCCACACAAAAAGCAGCAAGAAATTACCTTGTTTTTATCGATTTTCTTGACAGCAACACGATCGCCATTTGCCTTATCAACAGCAACATATGTATACCCAAATTGACCATGACCCAACAATTTACCAGTCGAATACCTTCGATCAAAATCTTTAAGATACCCAAAATCTGTTCTTTTCCCACAAGGAATCAAACCCTTTTGACGCTTTGGCGTCTGCTTACCTTTCGGTTTAGTTTTATTATTGTTGAAATCCTGCTTTTTATGAGAATTCCTATTGGATTCTTTCCTTTTGGGCAAATTGACATTTCCATCCTGTTTTAAGATAAGATGCCGTTGATGGTTTTCAGCGCCGGTGGTGGTGGCGTCGGCGTCGGTAAGGGAGGTGGTAGTGCTGTCGGAGCCGCTGATCTTCGTGGTCGAAAAACAGATACCCATGACTAAAAATCAAATCTTTGACGAGGGTTTTTGTGGGAATTGAATTTTGTTCACCGGTTTATGAAATTGAGAACGTAATGGGTCATGGGTTGGTTATAAATACGAATGAGGAAGACGAAGGGATCAAGAAAATGCAGGTATTGTGGAATAATAATAAAATATGGTGGAGGAGGGGGCGGTGGTGACGGTGGTCAAGGTGACTTTTTTGTGTTGAAGAAGAAGAAGATGAATGAGGACCCCCTCCTCATTGATGTTTTTGATGTTAACAGCTTCTTCTTCTTCTTTTGGTGTCTTTTTTCGAGTGGCATGAAGAAAAGAAACCGTTTGATGCCCTCCAAAGAGATTGGGGGCCAAAGAAACTGATCCTCATTTCTTGCGTTCATATCATACGAAGCGTTTGAGTAAATTACACGAATGGTCCCTATGGTTTGGAGTAATTTACATGTTTGGTTCCTAACTTATTTTTTTAACTCGGAAGATCTCTACTGTTTGTTTTTGTTGCATTTGGTTCATATCTTACCTAAAAATACTATTTTGTCATTGATTTTTTAATTTATATAAATAAACACAACACAACCCCACTTCCACCTCATCTTAGCTTACCCTACCTACCCACCTTATTTAAATAAATTAAAAAATTAAGAACAAAATAGTCTTTTTAGGTAAGACATGGACCAAACGCACAATAAAAACAAACTATAGAAACCTTCCGAATTAAAAAAATAAGTTAAGGACCAAACATGCAAACTACCCCAAACCATAGGGACCATTCGTGTAATTTACTAGAAGCGTTTTTTAGAAAGAAAAGAACTACTCTTCTCCCCATGAAAAGAGGAGGACGCGGATTTAGGTGGTGTTTGGTGTCTAACTTTTTGATTATTTTAGATTAAAAATTGTTATAATAAGTTTTTTGTTTTACCTTTTCTTTTGAGAAAATTAGGTTGAGTAAATGATACTGAAGTTAAAATACTTTGTTTCTTTTGAATTTTAGGGTCGAAAAAATCATGGTCTAGATCATATAAGAACGTTGAGAAAGGTCAATGTGAATGATATATGAAAATTATATATAATTGTCTCTGCAAAGATAATGAACGATCCTAAAGTCATTCTATGTTAGTTTTTGTGGTTCTTAGAAACAGTCGACTAAAGAAACGTCGAAAAGTACAAGAAAATTCGGGAAACAGAAGAAAAATGGGTAAATGTTGCTGAAAATGGATATGTGATGCCAACCTGGATATTTTATGTTTGTTCAACTATTTTCAGTTTTTCACCATCTTGAAAAGGAAATTGAAGTGAGACAAGGAGTAATCCATAGTAGAAAATAAACTCTTTTTGTTACAATTTTCAACGTTCATTTCAAAATTCAAGTAAATATTTTTTTTAAATATAAATATCTTGTATTTTTTTAACGTCTTCTTGTTACTAGAGTTGCAATATTCGATGTAAAGAGTTCCTTAATGAATAGTGAATTATGATAGTTTGATATTACGTTTTCATTTTTATGTTGTGTTTTAGGTACTACAGTATCTTTTTTTAACAGCTGTATTTTATTAAAAGAAATGTCAAGGAGCTAGAAAAGAAAATCAATTTAAAGAAGAGGATTTTGTAACCATTGAGATCGTTAATACTATTTTTTGCTACTTTTACTTGCAAACCAATTAAAAGAATGAATAACTATACTTTAAAAAATATGACTCTTCTTCATGGTGTACGTCTTGAAGATTTCGCTATTTCTTTATGACCAAATAACCCAAATGATTGTGATAACAATTACTTCAATCTTTCTTTTGTTCAACAAAGAAACCGAAATCCATCCACTCCAAGATCTCCGAGACATTTGTGAACAAAGGAAAGGACAGGTCAAACCACTTAAGAACTTTTCCTCGTATTTCTTTTACCACATCACACTCCGCAATAACATGCCCACAATCTTCAATCTGAACAGAACATAAAGGGCATAACACATAATTGAGATCTATACCCCTAGTCACCAGATTATTACGAGTAGGTAATCTATCCAAGTGTTGAAAAATTAGTGTTAACCAATTTATAAAATAGGTTTTCCCCATTTTTGAACACGTCCAAAACGGATTTCAGATGAATGAAAATTAATACTTAAAGTAAGGATGTTGGAAGAAGTAAATAAAAAAGTTTAATGGGTGAGAGAAAAAAAAAGTTCAGGAACCTTTCTTGTAAATATTTTTTCTTTCGAAACTGAAATTGTAATTAATATTTGTTGAAAATCGTCCTAGCTGTCTTCTAGATGATTCTTTCAATTGCTTCAAAACAGTGAAATTGTAAACCACGGGAATAGGAGGCACACGCTAATCTGGAAAATCTACATTTCAATCAAAACGAGATGATTGTGGAAAGGGATCAAAATCCGATGACCGTTGATGCTCTCACTGTCAGAAATCAGGGCACATCATCGATGTATGTTTTGAATTGGTTGGTTATCTTGAATGGTGGAACACAAAGTCCACCACAGTGAAAACTCAACCAATAAAGAAAAAAGTTCAAGCACATGTTGTGACTGTCATGGAGGAAACAAGCTCATCGGTGATCACTAGATAGGAATATGACAGCCTCCTGAAGATGATACGGCCAGCCAAACCTTTTGAAAACACACTAAAAGCCAACATGACTGGTAAAAATATTCTGAAATCATACATGACTGGTAAGAACAAAACTCAAAATTCTTGGGTCATCAACTCGGGAGCCAGTGAACACGTCACTCATCACAAACATTGGTTAAAACCAATTAAAAACGGAGAATTGGCTTCTGACTATTTCTAATGGCCAGTCATTACCGATTGACCATGTACGAAATGTCCAATTTCCTAATGGATTCGACTAAAGGATGTTTTAAATGTTCCCAATTTTAAATGTAACTTGATATCAGTAAGCCGGCTAACTCGTGACCAAAAGTGTTCTATAACTTTCTTTTCGTATTCATGTCTAATACATGACTTATGTTCGAGGAATCTGATTGGGACGGTAAAGAACGAGATGGATTATACTATTTGGAACCATTCAAAAGAGATAGGGTGGCAATGTCAGTTTTGAGTAAGCAAATGATTTGGCACAGAAGATTGGGACATGCATCTGAAACAATTTTAAAGAAGATACAACAATTAAACGTAGGTAATTGTAAACAATTTTGTGATTCTTGCATTCGAGCAAAACAAACTAGGTTACCTTTTCCCATTAGTTTTTCTAAATCCATGGAGTGTTTTGATTTATTACACATTGATATTTGGGGTCGATAGAAACAACATACTCTTAATGGAGAACATTATTTTTTTTGTCTATTATGCATGATCATAATTGGGGAGTTTGGGTTTATCTAATGAGAAACAAATCTGAAGCAGGAGAATTTGCAATTTTGTAACGACCCAAAAATCAAGGGTAAAAATTTCGTTTTTAATTTAGCTAAAACATTGATACCATTTATTTCAAACATTTCAAATCATCGTTAAGTAAATCATTTATCAGAGTTCATCCCAAAATCATTCATTGCGGAATTCATAGGTTTGTGCACTGCGATCAATTCGAGCTCTTCTTTTCCAAATCAATGATACCTGAAACCAAAACCGTAAACCGTAAGCACAAAGCTTAGTGAGTTCCCCCAGAGCATACCCCACACACAATCCACATGACACGTATCACATTAGCTATACAAGCTATCTCTACCACATATCACATATCATATTAGCTATACAAGCTATCTCTACCACATATCATTAGCTATAAAAGCTATCTCTAGCACATAACATTAGCTATAAAAGCTACATAAACCATATCAATCAGATAACCATATCAATCACATAACCATGCATATAAACATATACGGATACCGTGGGCTCCCCCCATGGTCTTACACCTATGTGTCATGGGCTCCCCCATGGTCTTTAATAGGAAAGCCATAGGCTCTCCACATGGTCTTACATCCAAGTGCCATGGGCAACCCCCATGGTCTTTAATAGGAAAGCCATGGGCTCTCCACATGGTCTTACATCCAGTGCCATGGGCTCCCCCATGGTCTTCCATGCAAGTATCACAAAGACAGCTAGCATAACACATACCACATAGTCAATAGCATACCACATAATCACTAGCATACACATATACATGCATACCAGACATATCAGTAGTGAATCTACAATAAACACTACAACTAACTGAATGGGCTGACCTTGGTGCCTTAGACCCATTGGTATGGTGAGGAGACTCGCCTCTCGAATACTGAACTGATAAGCTGAAGTCAGATATATCCCACACGCTGCTCCTTCTCAACTGTCCATAATTATCAGGTGATTAGCTTAACACAACCCCATAAATACCCTCAGGTCAACCCTGGACCAAGTCAAGGTCTACCGCCAAGGTTAACAATCCATGTTGACCTCAACTCGTCGAGTATATCCAGCCACTCGCCAAGTTCTTGCTTGACTCGTCAACTCGCCGAGTCACTTGAGTGACTCGTCGAGTTCCCCGATGTTTGCGGTTGTAAACCCTCAACCGCAAACCCATGGCCGTAAACCCTTTGGCCGTAAACTCCTTGGCCGTAAACCCTTTGGCCGACTCGCCGACGTTGATTAAAGGACTCAGCGA